CATTTTTCAAGATATATCGCTTAGAATTTGCCCTCTTCAGCATTTTGTTCCACACGTCACAGAGTTGTGTCTGTAAACCTCTTGATCATACAAATATTTGTGGAGCCACAGAATTTCAGAGCATGTGATAAGAGACTTTGTAGCATCAAAGATACAGAAGCTCTTTACATACAACGAAACCTGCCACTATTGATTTTAAACAGCATCTTGATTTGTAACCTTTTCTTCTAACTATATTTTACTTTTTTTCAGGACAGCTAAATTAAATGTCTTATGTTGATCTCCTAGGTTTTCTCAGTTTCCATCTATCAATGTCCTTCGATACAAGGAGACGCTATGGGGGAGCTACAGTTTGTAAGATTACTTTTGAAGATATAACAGGGCAGGTTTTATCTGCACACCCTCATTGGGGCTTTTTATTTTCCCTGTGGAGGAATAGGTACTTTGGGGCTTCTGAAAAACAGGCTTTCATTTCTATAGAGGAGAAACTTCCTGGACATGCCATAAATGCTCTTTCAAGCCCTGTCACTTCCCCCATTACATAAGTGCAAATGGACTGCATTTGAAGACAGTAAGGAGCAGAGCAAGGTTTCCCCACAAGGGGATTCTGAGGTACTCTGAACACCAGACTGATGTAATCAGTGGAGGAGTTCCTTACTGCGGGCTGTCACGTCTCACAGTGGGGGTCATGGGCTCGTCTGCTTGGTAAACTACTCCTGATCTATGACTGAAGCTGTGCTTCCTTTAAAAATAAATCTTGTTCTTCTATATCACACATGTTTCTCAGCCTCAGGAGCACCTCATAGATTTAGCTTAATTTTGTCTTATTGTAGTAATGTTATCTCCAGATTCTTAGTAATCACCCTACTTCTGATACTGTTGATTCATCTGTTCCTTCTGAAATTGAGTTAAATGCTCTAGTCTGATTGATTCCTTCAAATTAACATAGAATATTTCAGCAGGACTTTGAAAATGAAGCCTTGACCCCAGTGTGTAGTGACCTCAGTGGACAGTAAAGAGTTCCTCTGTGTCAGGCAGGTGACAAATGTCCGTTAACCTTGAAAGTCCACATGGATTTGTACCTGATCTTCAGGTGACAAATTGCTAACTCTTTTCACCTTGTTATAATACTAGTGAGAGACCCTCAGATACCATGTCATCAGTAAGTCATTTCCATGCAGGCACCATTCTAGTGATTTACTGAAAATATCATCAGGGCCATCAAAGTGCATAATTTTTATTTATTATACAAATAGTGGCTTGGCTGGAGTGTTTAGACCAAGTGAGTTTTTCCCATTGAAAGGATAACGAGTTCATTCTTATGGACACATCAGCATAAAGTTCTTCTAGACTCTTACAGCTCCCTCCACATCCTCTAAAGGAAGACACACACACACACACACACACACACACACACAAAGAGAACTGAATTGAGAGTTGTGGGTATGTGCCGTCGCTGAGGGCTCAGTCTATGGCTCCTGATGTGTGCTGAAGAGCAACCATTGTGCTGTCAACAGGTGGTAATTGCTGGTTAGAAATAACAAGATATCCAGTGAGGAGAGACTGAGAAGAATACACTCTTGTGGCAAGAGTTAAGAACAAGCTCCTCATGGGGAAATGTGGGAGACTATTGAGAAGGGAGGAGAAGCAAGGGGAATCGTTAAGACTCCACTTTCTCGGTTTCTGCTCTGAACTTTTGCTCACAGCAGGTGAACACAGGCTCCCTCCCACTCTGAGCTTGCCCCCCTGCCGGTGTGCAGTCTGTTAAGTAAACAGAGACTTTATACTGAGAAAGGAACATTTCTCTATTTTGGCTATGAGTTGTTATTTTTAAAACTTCATCCTCCAAACATTTTCCCCTATCCTTGTTTATTTTTTCACTAGAAAGAAAATGTGCTACTTTTAAAAAATGTAACTACAGGACAAGAAAAACTCACTTCTAGTGTGGCTCTGCCTGGTTAAGGCCAACTGATCCTTTGCTGTCACCACCGTTTCATCCCCCTGTTGAGGAATATAGCTTTTAAAGAGTCCCGTCTGCTTGTATAGAGCTTGCATGCACCAGGATTTCCACAGTCATAGCAAAATGCACCCTGGCAATAGCTTTCTGGAAACTCTAGGTAAAAAGGCCAATCTCTCCCTTGACATCTATGGATCTATCAATATATCTATAGCTTAAATATAGCCCCTACTGTGTGCCACAGGCCATTCTAAGCACTTTACATACATAAAAACTCATTTACCTTTATATGAGAATACTATGACAATTGCTTCAATATTGATATGTGTTAAATTTGGGGAGACTGACATTAGATGTAAGAGATTTTCTTTCTATACCTTTTCCGGGGAATGTATCCCACTGCATTGCACCCATCTTTCTCCTTGTCTATCTTGCCCCTGTTCTGGATCTCTTTATTAATGAGGCCCATGACTTTCTTCTCTGTACCCTAATGTCTAACACAAAGCCTGGTATATAATGGGCCCTCAATAAATCTGTTTGAATGAATTAAGGTAGAGCTTGAAAGGAAGACAAAGAAAATCTTATTGTTGGAATTCTTTCTTCTGGTTGGTAGGCACTGTGGTTTGACTTAGCAGGTTTGAGTCCTAATTCCCTCCTTTGGAAAATGGGAAAAATAATATTAACTTTAGAGGGCGGTTTTAAGAAGTAAGTGAATTTATCAAAAGTACTTAGCATATTTCAAGTCAGCATGAAAAAGATGGTTTATACCATAAATGGTGTTAAGAAAAGTAACTAGCTGCCTGGAAAAAATACTAGGCTGAATCCTTGATCTATCTTGCACCAAAGTAAATCCCAAATAATGGGTGCACAACTCTGTGAATATACTAAAATCCATTGAATTGTACACTTTAAGTGGGTGAATGATATGAAATGTTATTGTATCTCAATAAAATTGTTATGAAAATAAATAAGTCCCAGAAGATCAAAGATTTAAACGTAAAAGCATGGAACTAAACTGGAAAAACATGGAATTAAAAATGAAGGCAACGTGGGCCGGCCCCGTGGCTTAGTGATTGAGTATGTGCGCTCCGCTGCTGGCGGCCCGGGTTTGGATCCCGGGCGCGCACCGATGCACCACTTCTCCGGCCACGCTGAGGCCGCGTCCCACATACAGTGGCTAGAAGGATGTGCAGCTATGACATACAACTATCTACTGGGGCTTTGGGGGAAAAAAATAAATAAATAAATAAATAAATAAATAAAATTTTAAAAAATGAAGGCAATGTAAGATGGTTTTTTATAGGTTATTGAAAGGGAGAATGAACTTTTCATGTAAGACATACCATTCTAAAACCATAAATGAAAAGTTTGGTAAATTTGATTATGTTATAATTAAATGTTTTGAGGAAGAAAATACCAGAAACAAAATCAAAAGAAAAACATGACAAACCACGAGAAAAGAATTAAAAGCACATAGGACAAAAGGCTAGTTACTGTAATATATAAAGAGCTCTTAAGAATCAATGTGAAAATGACCAATAACCCAACTAAAAAATATGGGCAAAGGACAAGAACAGGCAACTCAGAGAAAGAGCATCTACCAGTATATTCTCCAACCAACAGCCTATTGGTACAAGCTGTTTGGAAGCAATATTTGAACTATTTATGAAAATTAAAAATACATAAGTCTTCTGATCTAGCAATTCTACATCTAGGAATTTATTCTATAGCTATCTATGCATGTGTCCAAAGACATAAAAATAAGGAGTCGTTGCATGAAATTTTTTTAACAGCAAAATACTTGAAATCAAACTAAATGTCAACCAACAAAGAAGTGGTTAAAGAAATTATAGCATTTCGTTCAGTGAAAAACTATGCAGCTGTTGCTGCATAAAACTGTTGATGAGGAACTCCAAAATATATTAATTAAAAACAAAACAAAACAAGGTACTGGACAATGTGTTTAGTGTTCATATTTTAATTTTTTATATATATCGCAAATATATGTTTGCATATGCATAGAATATTTTAACTGCTTCCTGTCCCCCTCAAACATATCATGTCCGAAATTCAGCTTGTAAACAAAAAGATGAATGAATTCTTTTCACAGGTATTATTTCATTTAATTTCTGCAACAACCCTGTGGAAAAGGTAGTAATACTTTCTATTTTTTTGTATTGCACGTTATGAACCTTCAGATTTGCTTATTGAATAGTTACTACTATTAACGTGAAATCTTTGATTCCAAGGTTCTGTTGCAAAGGGAAGGATCCTAAACTTTATATAATGATTTATGACATCCTTCATCACCTGACTTTGTCCTTCTTTCCTATATTAATCTCCTGTTTCCTTCTTATCTCTAGCATGCTGCTCTATGTTCTTTTTCATGCTGTTCCTTCTTTCTACATTTATGACCCTCTTCCAATGATGTTCTCACACCTCTGCTCATAAAATCCTACATTTTCTTAAAGTGTCAATTCAAATGCCACCTACTAGGCAAATTCTTACCCTGTCATTCTTGGCAACATCAATGGTTTCAGCCCAACCATAGTCCATAGTTATCATAGTTTCTTCTGTACTTCCAAAGCACTTCATACAAGTCTATTAGAACTGGTTATATTATTTCAAGACCATGAGCATATTGAGAGTAGAGGCTCCATTTTTAGTTCCATAACTATCACAATGTCTAGAATATAGTAGCAGATCAATAAATATTTATTAGAAAAATCATTTACCTGAATCTTAATAATTTTTGATTACCCGTAGGTTGAAGAACTCTACTTTTAATGTAGCAGATTTTGGGATTGAACAACACATCTCTTCTAAGAATTTGAAATGAAAATGTTTTATTGATGGAAAATCTTTTTTTGTCTTGCCTTCTAGAATTCAAATGGATGTTCATGCTCCATGAAGAGAATGGGCTGCTGTTTTTTGTTACAGATTTGAGCCAGTAGATTTTTATGAATGTGAACCTTATCATGTCTTCTGGAAGCTTTTCTGTCCTTTAATATTTTTTTCTTTTTTTTTCCCCGTGTTTTTATAGAAACCAGGGAAAATGTGTAGAGGGCATGGTGGAGATCTTTGACATGTTGCTGGCTACATCATCTCGGTTCCGTATGATGAATCTCCAGGGAGAGGAGTTTGTGTGCCTCAAATCCATCATTTTGCTTAATTCTGGTGAGTTGATAACATGGGAGAATTTAATGCTAGGTTACTGGAAGAAATATTTATTTGTATTTTCAACCAGATACAAACTACCTACTACAAAGGCATGATCATAAATTGAAAGAAACACTGACATATTTAAAATAACCTATTGTCATTGTAGATTACTTATGGAGGTAGAACCACTCTGGTCGAATATGATGGATAAAATTAAAAATAAAACAAAACAAGGTACTAGACAATGTGTTTAGTGTTCATGTTTTAAATTTTTACATATTTCACATATATATGTTTGCATATGCATAGAATATTTTAACTTCTTCCTGTCCCCCTCAAACATATCATGTCCCAAATTCAGCTTTGAGGATTGAATTGGGCATCGAATCAAATGGCCTTTTTGTTGAAATATTTACATCCTTTCACAGGTACTGTAATGTTTTTATTAAAGTGGTACATATATATAGACATATGTCTGTTGATAGTTATATATGTCAGAAAGGAAGTAGACCAAGTGACCCTGTTGAGAAATTGTGACCAATTCCAAGCTCCAGATCATAAGGAAAGAGGCTTATTTGACACTGACCATGTTTCTGGTCAAAACTGATTAGCTGAAAATTATAATTGGCTCAGAGATAGAAAAACCCGGTCCTAAAACTGAAGAACACGGAATGCAGTAAATTGGTCCAGCTGAAAGAGCGGTTTTCATTTGGTCTATGGTGTCTAATTCAACTGTTCCCTCCTGTTTATTCATTTGAGAAAGCTTAGCTGAGAGCGGCATCTGTTTTTTTTTTTTTTTGTTTTGTTTTATTGTAGTGAGTTTAGCTGTTGTATAAGAAGTCACTCCAGGTCACCCAGATGGAAACTATGGCTCAGCCTGAATTAGTACCCTGACTCCTCTCAGCCCACTCGGTATTTGGTTCTAAGCACTAGATCTCCAGTCTGTGGGCCTGAAGCTCAGCAATTGGGTGTCAGCTTCACAGTAGATGCCCCTAACCTGGACATTTATCCCCCATCCCTGGCCCTACTTCTTGTCTTGGACCTTCTTCTCACATAGAAGTCATAGCTATTCTGAAGCCCTAGGGCTGATTTGGATTTAGTTTCTTACACCATTAGATATGGTCTCAAATTTCCCAATAGCCAAGCTATAGTCTGTATTGATCACACACGTAGAGAATCAGTACTTCCTTCTCTTTTCCAATGTTTTATCTCTTCCCGAAGCATACCAATCCCTTCCCACCTCCCCTAGCAATTTTCCACTTCTCTTCTCCACTGATGCTAGTAACCTACATTGCTTAATGGTTATCATAGTAATCATTCTCACTTATCAACTGATAAATGGAAATCTGTACTATTACACTAGGCAAAAACTGAATTACAGAATGAAGTTGCATGAAAAATAATGTGATCGACACTAAGGAAATGATTACCACTACATTCAAGTTTCTGGTTTCACTCACATGCATTGTGCTTTTCATTTGAGTCGTTTGTCCTGTACATTGAAGGGTCCAGATCCCACAATGGCTCTTTATTGGATGAGAGTTCTGGGAGCAGTGCCACTCGGCTGCACAGTGCCAGGTCCTGAACCTGCTCCTTCTTCGGTGGAGGGCTGGCACATGCTGATGGCTTTCATGTGGGCAATCTGTTAACTTCAGAGAAAGCAGGCTTATCAAGTGGTGAGACTTTTTTCCCACTTTTACCAGGAAATAATTCGCCAGACAGGAAGTGAAATTAGCCAGAGTTGTATAATCAACACAGTAGATCTCTGATCTTGTAACCAAAAATATTTCCTTCAGATCCATGTAGCCTTTTTCTGCATTATTGTTCTGTTCCTATAACAGGGTGCTTTTTTTAAACATTATATACAAAAAAGGCAAGACTTTTGCCGTCAAAATATTGGATTCATAGACCCAGGTCTTTTAAACCCCAGAGGAAAAAACTTTTAGCCCTCACATGAAAGTGTTTTATTAAAGACTGGCACCAGAATCTCAAAACAGTATTTCCCATTGCAGAATTTGGACCTCCTCCTGATTCCTCCTCTAGTTAAACTTTCCTCCTCTACCCTTGTTCTTTCATCGTTTTCTCAGAATCTTCTGTGAGCTTCCTTGCTCTTGAAGGGTTGGAACACTATTTTGGAAATACAAGGCACTGTATACTGACAGAGTCTACAGCTGTCTTTTTCATGAGCTATCAAGGAGGCAACTCGTCTTTTCAACATCAAGGATGGTGTTGCCGGCTCGCAAGTGGTAAACCAAACAGAAGCTGTCTCTCAAGCTGTAAAAAGCGATCCCACTCTTCTCACTCCAAAAGTGAGCTATGTTTTTGAAAAGCAGATCTGCTGCTGAGCACAGCTCCTAGTATGTCATATTGTTCCTGAAAAACAGAATCAAAGAGGACAAGACTCTGAAACACAGTGGTATGGTACTGGGAGCCTTTTTTCAGAGTAAGCACGATGATCAACAATTTTTTCCCACAACTGGAGGTATGGATTTTTTCTAAAAACCCAACCAATTCATGGCTGTGATCCGGAGCAACTCTTCACCCATCATGAGACAAATTAAAGAGTGACTCGAATTCCATGAATCTCTGACAGAAGCCAAACTGGAAATGATTCAGGAAAACTGAGCTAGAAGATGCTTTTCTGATCCCTGGGAAACAAGAGCTCAGTGTATGGAGGAACCTTGGGTTTTGTGTTGAGCCCCAGTCACCAAAGTCTGAGAAGGGCGTGTTTACATTGGCCTTGACTTTGGGGCAGAGGCACAAGGGGAATTGAAAGGCTTTGTGAGGACCCACTAGGAATGTCTTTCTGGAAGTCTTGTCCTTGAGAGGGTCTCTCAAATGCCAAAATTTCCATGGGAAGCCCTCTTCATAGCTGTTTGGGAGTGGGAGATATTTGTTATGATTTCTGCCTCATTTAGAATAATTTATTACTTTGCTTGCAAAAGCCTGCAATCTTCCATAGGACAAACTCTGTTTGTTTTTCCACTCCCCATCAAAGGACAAAGGCGTTCCTGGTTAATCCAAAGATGCCTTGGCAAAGTCACTGCCAGCTTCAAGGCATTCTGAGGACTAGCTGGACAGAGCTCAAGATTAGGGCAAATGAGAACAGAGCAGATGAGCTCAGGGCAAAAGGCTGTGAGGGAGCAACAGTGAGAGAAGGATAGGGGCTGGAGGCACAGAAGGAACCAGGAAGGAGGCTCTGTGCCTGTTCACAGTATCCCTTCTGCCCAATGTGACTTCAGTTCTTCTTCATAATTCCAATATTTCTAATTCTTCCAGACCCAGCTCAGATCTCACCTCATTCAGGAAATCTTGATACTACCCAGGTCTGTAATAAGCTTTTCTTCTCTAGACTATGTTAGTTCTTAGAACCAGTACCACACAGTCTAGCATTTGGTCAATTGGTTGGCTGATTTCATTCATTTCTTTAATAATTTCATCCATTTATTCAATAATTCATCATTTATTGAATTCCTACTATGAACTTTGTGCCAACTATGCAAAAATGAGTGACACAGTTTTTTTTTCCCAGTTTTTGCTTTACCCTGGATTGGTTCTTTATGCATGATTTCTCTATAAACGATTACTACTTTTTTGCATTCCTCGCAGTCTTTAACCTGTGAACTGAAAACAGATGTTACACCATTCAGTCATTTAATAGACGCTTGTTGGTTGAACATGACCAGGAGGGCATGGAAAGTCCCCATTTGTCCCATGCTGTTCCTACCATTATACAGATCTAGATAGTATCAAACTATTAAATGGGAAAAATAATGTCCATCACCTTGGATTATTGTGAGCTAAAGGAGAAATTGTGTATAAAGTGTCTAATGCAGTTCATGGAACATAGTAGCCCCTAATCAATGATAGCTACCATCATGACTCATGGGAATCTCTAGTTTAACTAGAGTCAATCATGCGTTTTTTTCAGTATAATTAAATGCTTGTAGTTTAAAGACCTCCCGCTAGGCTTAAAAAAATATTCGAGACACAAGGAGAATAATAATAGAGATTGTGACTGTTCCCTGAGACTTTGTTAATTGTGCTATTTTATTATGTTTAGAGAAATTTTAGCCAGCCCTGGTCGTCTAGTGGTAAAGATTCGGTGCTCTCATTGCCTGACCCAGGTTTGTTTCAGGGTAAGGGAACCACACCAACTGTCTGTCGGTTGTCATACGGTGGTGGCTGCGTGTTGCTGTGATGTTGAAAGCTATGGACCAGGATTTCAAATCCCAGCAGGGTCAGCCATGGTGGACAGGTTTCAGCGGAGCTTCCAGACTAGACAGACTAGGAAAAAGCACTTGTTCACCAACTTCTGAAAAAATTGTCCGTGAAAACCTATGAATAGCAGCGGAGCATTGATACAGCACAGGAAGATGAGGGGATGGTGCAAAAAGACTGGGCAGGGTTCCCTCTGCTGTGCACAGGATTGCTAGGAGTTGGAATCATCTCGAGAACACTAACAACAAAAAGAGAAATTTTAGAGCAAGATTTATCTCATGGATAATGATTGTTATTTGAACCTTAATATTGGCCAACCTTCATGAAAACTCTGCAGTGGGCCACTGTCAAATCACAGTGAGCTCATTCATCAGTTCACTCTGTTTCTTCTCATCCTCCCCCGCCCTCCATATGTGATCCTCATAAACCCCTCAGAATCCACTCCCATTCGGAACACTACCCTTTCACTGGGTGTTTTTCAAGACTCAGAAAAAATCACAAGTCAAAGCTTAATATGTATATACCTACAATCTCTAATAAATGTTTGGGTTAACCTTCAAATTCAATTTAGTAATTATTTTTACCTTTTTTTGAACTCCTTTCTGACCACAATTCTTTATATTCCCCAGTAATTCCAAAGAGCCTTGCACACTCTACTCCCGGGTAACTTTATCCAGCTGGCTCACTGGAGAGCTTGTGAGACCCCTGACTCCAGCTCCTCTGCCCTCTGTTTAATAGTAGATCCTCTTTGCTTTCCTGACCCATGAACCAACTCCCATTACCCAGAAGTCTTC